TGTCACAAAAGGTTTGCCTGAGGACTTGGGGAAAGATGTATATTTATGATTGCTTGTGTTCCTCTTATCATCCATCGCTGTTGTAAAAAGCCCACAATCATTGTTGTTTCTTCTCTCTCTCTCTCTCTCTCTCTCTCTCTCTCTCTCTCTCTCTCTCTCTCTCTCTCTCTCTCTCTCGCTCTCTCTCTCTTTCTCTTTTTTCATTTCATAAAGATCTGTCAACAGCCCGGGGGGCCCTTCGGCTGTTGCTTGGCAGCCAAATACTTCTTTTTTTGTTTTCCCTCCCTGCCAACCCCACCTCCTCCTCTCCGTCTTTTCTTTGAAGCGGACGTTAACAGGTGTTTGCAGCGAGCTGTTTATCTTTCATTACCTCGCCTTGTCTTGTCTTCTGACCCAAGGGTGAACGCTTTCCAGAGATCCATAATCCTTTGCTTCTACGGGCTCCCGATGGAGGGATGAAAAGAGAAAATGGAGATGGAAACATGCAGAGACTGAGAAAAAGTGAGGGGGGAAAAAACAATCAAACAATAACCACATATGCCAGATGCTGTGGCTTTCATTGTAGCATTTATTAGCAGATTCACTCACCCAAATAGAAAGAAATGACAAACCAACAGTTTGACAAACCAGCAGTTTCGATTTTATCTTTACTTCTTATTCCCATAAAAAAGTTTGGCATTTTCAGCACAGTCTTGTAATAATCTGACATTTCAGAATCACGCTACACCCGTTCTAGTTGTGTTTCTGTAGCTTTTTTCCTTTAAAGTCAGCGAGAGCTTGTCAGACATTTTCCAGGGTGCGTTCGAGTTCACCAGCTCTCTTCAGAGTTCCTGAGCAGATGGCTGCCATCAATTTTCGCATTTGTTCAGAGTCCGACTCCAAATTTTCTTGTCCTTACACCTATGAATTAGGAAGTGTAGCAGCCATTTTCCTCTCATGACTTCAGGCTTTGGGGAAGTGTTTTGAGAATGATGATATCTTGTCAGATGTGGCAGTCGAACAGTGGGCCAGCTGGTGCGAGAGCACCATCATGACAAAATAATAGCCTTGCACGCCACCCCTAAGTCCAATCACAATTACATTTGCAAGCTGTGAGTTAATTGGGAATGAAAATGTCTAATCAGGAAGTATGAGGCTTTTAATTGGTAGCTGAAGGAAGGTGATACTGCGTTGAAGGCTGCGAAAGTGTAAGATTGTAATGTCCGATAAGAGGAAAGTGTTGCTAATCCTAATTGAAAAAGCAAAAAAACCAAATAAATCTGAGTATAAGCACGCAGCTTTCACAACAAACAAACCTCATCTGTCCTTAAAGGAAAAGCCACGGTTTGCTCTCTGCTGCTACTGAGGATGCATTGTGTCTCCTCTGCTTGGAGCAGATGGTGTGGTGTGGAAAGTGAAGTGCTGCTCTTTTGGCCGGGACTGTCAGAATAAAACCAGTCTGCCAGGGTTTACCCCACAAGACCCTCACTGTGTATACTTTCCTTCTCCCTCTCCCTTACTAAACCATACAAAGTAGACGGGGTCTTTAAGGAGCCAACACAGCATGGTTCAGGATTTGCTGGCTCTGCCGCGTAACCCAAAGGCCAAGGGCAATCCAATCTAGCAGCTGATGCTTTCTTCCTACTCTATAGTTTCAGCTACATCTGGACACTTGACTGATTTTAACAATCACAGCCAGCCCTGTACATCACAACTAATGTCAAGCCTTGTATTTCGTCCGCTCGAGCGTAAACAGTCTTCGTGAAAACTCATCGCTGCTCATTCTGCGTAGTTTGCTTCATGTTGAACCAGCACACCAACCCCTCCTCTCCCGCTCCCTTTTCAATGTCTTATCCCCCAGATTGAAATGATCAGATGTATTATACGGCTGTTAATTCACCATGGAAATGGCTTGGGCCGTTCAGCGGCGCAGATGTGTTTCAGTCTTCCCATCACTGGCGGGGTCCAAAGCCTCAGTGCCTCTCTTCTTCTCCTCCTCCTTCTTTTGCTCCTCCAAGGGTTTGGCAATGGCTGAGAGGCTTGGGGGTGTTGGGGTAGGGGTGGAGCAGAGGGAGGAGGAGGGGGATGTAATTGAAGGCTGGAACCATGCTATCCCTCAAGGTGCCCCCAACAGCCCATCTCCATCGTTTCCGCTGTTCAGTCCAGGAGATCCATTAGGAAGACAAGACCTCTAACGGGAACTTGTATACCTGAAGGATTCCCATGTTTCCCAGATCGGTATTTGGGATCTCCTACACCGTGTTTTGTCACTGACGTAGCCAACATCAGACAGCCGTATTCAAGCTTGGCATGTGTTGTCGCCAAGCCATTAGGCCTTCTTGCCCGTCACTGGCGTTAACTGCTGTCTTTGTCTGTGATATGCAAATGTCTCCTTTTTTCTTCCTCCTTTTTTGGGTGGAGGTTAGCACAGGGTGTAGGCAAAGGCGTTTGCTCACTTTGACTGTGAAATGAGCCTCCTTATGTAAAAGCATCGGCTGTACTGCTGGCCAGCGTTTTATTTACCGTGACACTCGCATGCCTGATACGGATGGTGCCAAATGCAAGCAAATGGCTTCGCTCATCATCTTCAGCTCTCCCCTCAGAAACTGTGTTTGTGCTTTCAAGAAAATTTGGTTACCGTTCATCCCAGTGCCTTTCTCTTCCCATATTTACTCTCTGTCATTAGCTGGCAGACAAATATTTGTAATGTACCTGTGTCTGATTGATGGTGTACATGCAGTTTAGATCCAAGGAGCGTGTTGATGTCCTTAATAGCAAGTGTTTCCAGATCCAAGAAGGTCTGTCTCCCAACCACCTGAAGAAGGCCAAGCTCATGTTTTTCTACACCCGCTACCCGAGCTCCAACATGCTAAAGATGTTTTTCTCAGATGTCAAGGTGAGTTTGATGTAATCTTTCGATCTCTGTACACACGTAGCCAGTAGTCCCACAAAACAAAGGTATATTTCTACAGTTTGGCCTGTTTAACAAGTCTTTCTAAAACTCAGACCAAAGTGGAGATTTGCAAATTCTCTGCTGTCAGCAGTTGCTTGTGGATGTAAATAACCAGAGTTTTAGGCTTTGTACTGTGCAACTTGTGTTTACACATGATTGTTTTTACAAGCTTAATTACTGCTTCTTGTGGAAGATCTCAGAAGAAGGGCAATGTGAAGCACAGTTATTGCCCACCACCTATTTATTCTGCATTCAAAACTACTGCCTCCTGCAGGCCTGGCATGCCGATGAATGTTCCTAGATGGACCCGGGGGGGTTTCAGTTATACGAAAAGCCCGCTACGTGGTTTGTTTGTTTGTTTTGTACTTTTTTTTTCAACCTTTGTTTCATTCAAGTAAACACAAAACAAAAGAAGCACAAACATGCTAGAATAACCGTGTCCTTAAGGGTGTGGAACACTGAAAAAAATAAACATTTACAAATTCTTATTTCTGATGATGGTCCACTCTGAGCTTTTCATCCAGGCTGAACATGAAAATAGTCTCCTACACCCATCTCCTGCATCAGCATCTGATAGAAAACAGATGGTGAAACTCTAGGATTAGAAAATCACTTAAGTCACTTAACATTCATGGACTCGCCCATCTTGACGCACAACGGGGAAGACTGTTGTTGGTTTAACATCCAGGAAACAGCAGAGAGCATCTCGGCTAGTAGAAGCTAAACGTTAGCATTAGCAACTCAACTCGACCGCATAGCAGAAGCTCCTGCAGAAGCTTGTGATGTTTATAGAGATGAAACATTGATAGAGTTGCGTTGCCGTTATCCAATCTGAGGCAGGATGTCCAATTATCAGGAAATAAGACTCCAAAACCTGCAACTGTGATGTGGCTCCCTTCTAGTTCCTGGAATTGGTTCACTGGTGTTTTTCCCCCAGAGTGCAACTAACAAGGCTTTATTTATACTAGAGACCACTGCAAGTGGATTGATTAAGTGAACATTCCACACCTTTTAAAAATAACAGCTTTGTATTTTTCAAATCTAAATGTTGGAAAATACATCTTTACCTCTGCTGCTGGTCTGTGTTTGGCATATTTTCTTCCCAGTATTTAGTCAATGCACATAATGTTTAAAAAAAGGGAAATTTGATTTATACATTTTAATGTGCCGAGCTTCAGTTGCAGCGGACAATGTGCAATTGTCCATCTTAAAATGAGGTCCTTTTGCTCACTAAATTATGGGTTTATGCAAAACATGAAAGAAGAGGAAGTCGAACAGGTCTACGTGAGGGAGCTGGAGAGGCTGGGAGTACATCAAAGATAAAGAGAAGGATGAGTAATGGAGGGGTAGAGAGGGCAGAGTGGAGGACGCAGGCTGGCGATGAAGGAGTGGCTCTGCGAGCAGGTGGAGGAACGATGGTTAGATAGTTGGATAGAGGGAGGAGCCAAAGGGAGTTTAATGAAGGAACATTTGGGAAGCAACATGAAAGCTGCAGAGAAAAACAAGAACACAATCGCCATTGTGGTGCACGTAATTTAATTCGGTCATGTTGTTAGTTTTGAGTGTGTGTGTGTGTGTGTGTGTGTGTGTGTGTGTGTGTGTGTGTGTGTGTGTGTGTGTGTGTGTGTGTGTGTGTGTGTGTCTTGGACCATACAAGGGGTAAATACTGCGACAGATCCAGGCCATCTTATTCAAATCAGAAGATAAAGGTTCCCCTTTCTACCAGCTGCCCCCCTTTTCTATGCCATCACCAACAAGCGCTGATCTCACGTGACTTTCACCCAGAATTTCATTGGTCTTGATAATAAAGAGGCAAGAAGGCCGCTTTATACATTGATGCATAAAAAATATGACAGGATTCCACCGATCTGAAATCTTCTTGATCAGATTAAAACATGGATTTGTTTCACTGATTAATCGTTCCCATGAAGGTGGCCCAGCCATGAAAAAAAAGCCTAAATAAGGTCCAGAAATTTAGGGGATTATGGGATACATCAGTTTGTTTTTGTTCTCAGAAAATGACAATGGACTCTGGCTATAAATTAGTGTATGGGAATGGGACCATCTAATTATATCCAGCCTCTTAGCGAGGGCCTGTCTTCAACAAAGGTCTCTAAGGTTAATCAGGTCTCGACTAATCAGGTCTTAACCATCAAGAACCTAATGAACACATGAAGTGGGTTGGCCTTAGAACAGGGGGACGCTGAAGCTGTTGCCCCCCCCCCCCCCCCCCCCCCCCTCTAAGCTTCCTTTAAGACTTGTTTGTCGTGTTTCTGAAATGTTTTGACAGATTTGCTTTAATGCTATTGTTGGTGCTGCTAATGGAAGTCCACATTACCCCACTAGCTTTAAAACATCTCATTATTTTTGTGCACATTGAGGGTCAATAGATCAATGATTAGATTAGGTTAATTCAGTCAGTTTATAAAGTCATCCGAAGCTGCTGCCTTTGCAAACCATTGATTTCCTCTCTTGTTTTTATAATTATCGGTTAATTGTTGTTCTTTGAGCTTCAGCAACAAGCATTAGCATGTGAGCCAGTCACGTGCTCTTGAGGCCAGGAGGGTTTTCTATATGTCATTCCTTCTCTTCTCTTTTCTTTTCTTTTCTTTTTTTTATTTTTTGCTGATGTTGTGGCATGGTGTGTGCGCCTCGGCGGGGCCGGCGGAGAAAGAAAAGCCAGCGGCTGGATTTTGAGTCACAGCAGCAACAAAAGCCCGCTTTCCAGGGCCACTTTTTGTGTGCAGTCAGCCAATAGACACCCAGAGATTATCTCCCACAATTCACTCCTGCAAAAAACAGGAAACGTTGGAAAGCCCTGATGACTGTGGAAGGGCTTACGACAGTGAGGGGGAGAGAGGGAGAGAAAGAGGCCCGCTCAGGCTTCTGTGTCTTTCTGCTCTCCTCTCCGGTCGTTCTGGACGCTGCTGAACACTCTGAGGTCATCGGTGTGTTTTCTGCTCCGCTGTGGAACGTGTTGGCTTGCCTGTGGGTTTTAATCCAAATACCTTTCAGCGAACCACCGCGGCCATCCTAAAGACAAAACTGCAAAATACCCTGGTGTGTGGGTGTGTGTGTGTGTGCACCTGAATACTTCCTGCAGGCGACTGGTTCAGTTCAGACAAAGGATGCTTAAGTGTTTTCCAAATTCAGACTTAAGCATGTGTCAGTGCATCAGCGGAACATGTGAGGAAGTGTGTGTGCGCGCATGCCATTTTCTATCTGGTGCTGTTAGCACTAAGCTCTGACCTTTCACAGGCTCTTGAGTGTGAGTGTGAGAAACACGCTTCCACCATCTCTCTCTCTCTCTCTCTCTCTGCTCTGCCTCTTAGCTAGCCACACACCCTTTTACACACTTAAATGCTCAAACACATAGCATCAGGTCCAACACACACACTCACACACACATTCTCCTCTCTCCTTCTCATGTCGGTGCTGGCTGACCCCTGCCAGCTCTGATTAAGGAGCTGCAGTGATGTACTCCTTTGAACCGATTCCCTCCTCTACAGAACGCGGCTGCTTTCAGGGGGTCTCTGTGCCCCACCAGCAGCTTAATGAACCGAGACTGCAGGAAGCTGACGGGGAACTTGCCAAAATGTAATCCCTGAGCATTAGAAGTCGATTTAAGTTCCATAAAATGTAACGATCTTTCAGTTTGTGCATGTGTGTGTTTCTGATTGGATCTCAGCACACCTGCACTGGCTCTAACGCGTCTTCCTCCAAGCTGTCGGCATAATAAAGTCGTCTTTGTCCAAAGTGACAAATGTATCGTGTCACTCTGGCGCAGTGACACCAAAGGTCTCTCTCATGAGCGATGGCAACTTTCACTGGCTTTAATCTCACGATGTATGGCTCACACGCACGCAAGAGCGTGGATAGACGCCACTTCTCAGTCGGGCTCTGGGCCGCAGGAGAGAGGTTTAAACTTGAGTGAAAAAAAAAACGCTGTTTTTGTCACACTTCAGCTGGCGTCCGTGCGCGTGTGTTTTAAGAATACCACTGTCCGGCCAACGTATTTGTAAGTGTCAGTAGTTTGTTTGTTTGACACCGCGATGTCACGACCCCAGCTTGCTGACTGCTCACATTCCGGCCCCCACCCCACCCCCCACCCCCACACCCATACACCACCACCACCAGCGAAACACCATTGTCTGACAGCGCTGACCTGCACCCATCCTCCTCCTCTTTTTCCCCCATTTGTGCTCACACTGCACTTTAGGACAGACACACACACACACACACCCCTGACAAAGATCAGACTTATTCTTTTTCCACTCCGTCATTATCTCGTCTACTGATCATTCCAGAAGAACAACTTTTATTTACTCGTCTTGCTCCAACTGTTTTCCTCTGATTCAATGACTTGCCCCACCACACACACACACACACACACACACACTTCGCTCCCACCTTATGTCGATGGCTCCCACCCATCTTCACAAGTGTCTCAGGAGGAGTGTGTGTGTGTGTGTGTGTGTGTGTGTGTGTGTGTGTGTGTGTGTGTGTGTGTGTGTGTCTGTGTGTGTGTGTGTGTGTGTGTGTTGCCAAACAATAGCCAGGGCCTAATTTCCATGCCAGGATCACTCTGTGTCCCCCAGCGACTGGTGCGTTCAGTATTTAATAGCGGTGTGTGTGTGTGTGTGTGTGTGTGTGTGGGGGGGGGGGGGGGCGTTAAGGAAGTTTGAGGTTTAGATCAACATTATTATAAAATGGAGCACGGAACGGATGCTTGGACACGGATGCGTGAGACTGAGATTTAAGGGGGCCCAAACTCAAACGGCCGTTTCCTCTTGAACTCATCGGAGCAGCAGAGATCAGATCACCACTGCCTCCTCTTCATCCCTCTCGCCTTATTTTGCTCTTTTTCTCCTTCTTCTTCTTCTTCCTCCTCCCCGTGTGGGAGGTGAGCAGAGAAGAGGGAGGAGGATCAGGGTGTAATTGGTGAACGAGGTTAAGTACATGTTTGAGCCCCCTGCAGGCCGGGGCGCTTCAGATGATGACTTAATCGTTTTTCTGGTCAATTGTGTGTTTGCCCCCCCACACACACACACACACACACTCTCTCTCTCTTCCACCTCTCCCTCCACTCTCAGGGTTATGATAGGAGGGAGGTCTGTTCCCAGTAGGGGAGATGAACCACACACACTCTCTCTCTTTCTTCCACAGCCAACCTCCCCACTTTGCTGTCTTACTTAATATCTCTATTATCATCCCTCACTCGACAACCTGTGTCCTCTGTTCCGCTTCTCTTCATCTCCGACCGTTCCCTCCCACCTTGCCTCACGCCTCAGCTCCCTGATATAAAAATGCCCTTCATTCACACTCAAATCCTGTGGCTAAATAAGGTTCAGACGCCTCATTCTTCTCTTCCTGTTTGCATAACGCGTGCTGACAGATCCCGTTTGCTGAATTTCAGGTGATAAATGGAGCTAAACTGACACGGTAAAAAAAAAAAAAGATGCTAACCCACTCCCTCCTGTCTCCATCTCTCGCTCCAGTTTAACCGCTGCATCACCTCCCAGCTGATCAAGTGGTTCAGCAACTTCAGGGAGTTCTACTACATCCAGATGGAGAAGTTCGCCCGCCAGGCCATCAACGACGGAGTCACCGGGGCCGATGAGCTGAGCGTCAGCCGTGACTGCGAGCTCTTCCGAGCCCTCAACATGCACTACAACAAGGCCAACGACTTTGAGGTACCCGCTTCAGGCTGAGATGGGGCAAAAGGGAATGTGGCCCAAATGAGAGAAAAAGGAAGTTTCACCTGATTTGTCGAATCAGACGGGTCATGTGACACCATCTCTGTGTCATCTGTGACATTACTGTCCCTCAGTCTGCTGACTTTAAGTCTTCTGCACGTCCTGTGATGCTTTATTTTGATGCATATTTCTGTTTATAATAAAACTACCCTCATAGGGAGTAATGATGTCATTATTTAATCCAGATGAGCAGCTGCAGAGCAGGAAGATGGAGCAGATGTTAGGTTGAGGGTTGGTAAATGGCCTGTGTTTGATACAGGACCTTCTAGAGTCTTAGAACCCCCCAAGGTGCTTTACAACAAGATAAATCATTCACACATTCACACGCTGGTGATGAGCTACATTGTAGCCACAGCTGTCCTGGGGTGCACTGACAGAGGCGAGGCTGCCAAACACAGGCGCCACCGGTCCCTCCGACCACCACCAGCAGGCAATAGGGGTTAAGTGCCTTGCTCAAGGACACAACAGCAGCACTCTCTGCCAGGAGCCAGAATCAACCTTACAAACCTTCCATTACTGGACAACCCGCTCTACCTCCTGAGTTACTGCTGCTCCTAATGATGTTCAAATCAGAAAAATGTGTTTGTTAGCACGTAAAGCGTCTTAAGGGGAGAACTCTTTTTGCTATGAGCCACACACTCACACACACACACTCACACACACACACACACACAGAGAGAGAGAGAGAGAAAGGGAGAGAGAGAATCCAGCAAAAACATTGTGACCCAAACTAAAATTTAGTGAGAAGAAAAACAAAAGTGTAAGTTTACTTGAATAAATGAAGTATAAGATCTTCATCTTGCTAAATAGTCCACATTGTGTGAATTGGTTATAACACCCATGTGTTTATTAATAATCAATAGAGCCCTGTTATTAACCCATTCACTCTTTATCAGGCTAGTTTTATTTAAAAGACATTATCTTGATTTTTTAACACTCTACTTTCTTATAAATGTTTTATCTATTTTAAATACATGAACATTAAAACAATCAAAAGTGTAAATTCTGGGAAGTTTATGCTAACAGAGGTGTGAGGAAGTACGGACGTCTCACTCATTTCTCTTCTCGTTTAGTTTGTGCGTGTCTTGTTCGAGTGTGCGTCCCTGTGTGTTGCTGTTGTTTTGGAACACAACATTTTTACTTCCCTGTCATTATTTGCCTATTATCAGCAGAACAGTGTACCGACGCTTCCTGTGTATCATAATCACAAATTCTCAGCAGGTAACTTCACCTTTAATACGTCTCATTTTTCCCACTTCTTCTTTTGCCACCTTCTGTGTGTGTGTGTGTGTGTGTGTGTGTGTGTGTGTGTGTGTGTGTGTGTGTGTGTGTGTGTGTGTGTGTGTGTGTGTGTGTGTGTGTGTGTGTGTGTGTGTGTGTGTGTGTGTGTGTTGTTGCTGCATTTCCCGGTGTCCTGTTCACCTCGAAGGGTACAGCCGTCCCTTGGACCGGCCTGGCATGCTGGCAAAGCACTTCTGTGTGCGTGTGTGTGTGTGTGTGTGTGTGTGTGTGTGTGTGTGTGTGTGTGTGTGTGTGTGTGTGTGTGTGTGTGTGTGTGTGTGTCACTTTGGGGAGGGGGAGTAAAATCTCACTGTTATCAAGGTTAAGCATCCTACTGTTTTAGTGAGAGGAAGGGGAGAGAAAAGGGGGAGGGAGATGGATAGATAGACAGAGAGACCGATGAAGGGAGAAGGGGAAAGGGGGAACCAAGGGGGAACGGAGAGGGGAGAAAGAAGGAGCGATGACGTCCAGGAGCGAAGTGCCCTTGCGAGCAATGGGAGTTTTGCGAGCTCTTACAATTAAAGAGCTTTACTTTCTTTTCTCTGTTTCCTTCTCTCTCTCCATCATTATTTGTCCACTGGGGCTGCTCTGTGTGCACCCAAACACACACACACACACACACGCACACACACACACACACACACACACACACACACACACACACACACACACACACACACACACACACACACACACACACACACACTTCACCACATCCATCTTCAAACCTCTTAAGGGAGGCTTTGAGAGACGCTGGCAGGCAGAGGCACTTGTGTGTGTAAGGTCTGAATCAGCTGAAAGCTCCATGAGAGGAAAAGCAAGATTCCTTCTAATTTGCTGCTCGTGTAAGTGCAGAAATGATTAAACATTAGAGACAGGAAAATACGTTTTTCTTTCATTCCAAACTTTAACAGATCCAGCTCTGCATTCGTCTCTTTGTTCAATTGTTTCAGGGATGCATTCTTGAATGCACACTTCATTTATTCATTAATATAATCTAAAACACTAATAAATCTATCCTTTATGATCCTTGTGTGCACAAAGTACCCTGCTGTTCTTCAAAAACAAAGAAAAAATAGTAACTTGAGAACTTTTTGGATCAATTTTGTTCTTATTTGATGGTCGCATTTTAGCACAAGAATTGGAACAAGCTCTAAAACCTCAAGAAAGAAAGAAAAAAGTCTCAATTTATGAAATACTTCTGCTGGGATTTTCTATGTTTAGCAACAAAAACCAAATTCATTTCATCTTATAGAATTTTTTCTACATAAAGTGCATCAAGTTGTTCAATTTGAAGCTCATCTGTTCACCCTTTCCTTCTTTTGTGTCTTTCATTTTACAGATATGAAAAAAAACTTAAAAAGCCAAAATAAATCTCATTTCTAAGCTTCTGCTTACAATTAACATGTCAAATGTAACTTCATGCAATTAACTGAGTGATCGCACCGTAGTTTGTGCATTAAACTTCGAGTTTCTGCCTCGTGTGTGTAAATCACATGCAGGTTTTTACTGCACAGCAAATGGAGTCAAACAAACTAGTAATGAATAAGAAAGAGAAAATACATATTTTACAGTAAAATAAATAACTTTTAGATCACTTTGAGTGTAGGTGTGGCTGCTTTTAGAAGAATTTACTGTGGCTTTTGAAAAATAACACAATTAGTCTTTCATCATGGCCCAAACAGAGGAGAGCTCTCGTTTCCTTTGAGAATCCCCCTTTCTTTTTGAGGCCTAATTTTCCTGCGACACCTCAAACAAGACTGTCATTCTTCTTCTCTGAGCTCCAGGAAGTTACTGTTGAAGCGGGCTTAAGGGGAACGGCTCATTTGCCTACATAAATGCAAAACATTTGCAAGAAGGCAGACGGAGAGGAAAAGAGTCAGCGAAGCCAGGTGAATAAGTCTTCTGTTGGCCGAGGAGCTGCGCCTGTGGAGGAGGGGGGGGGGGGCAGGTGTTTTGCATGTTAAGGTTTTTTTTTAAGTTTTATTTATTTATTTTTCTGCTGGGCAGGTGTCTGAGAGATATAGGAGCTGATTAGAGTTTAGCACAAGGAAAATTTGCCCAGCCATGCAAATTTCTAACCCCCTGACAAGCCAACCGCCTTGGTGAGCGCTAAGACTTTGCGTGTAAGTGTGTGCATGTGTGTGTGTGTGCATGCGTGGGTGGTATTTGTGAGTGTGCGTGTGTGTTTGCAAGTGCGGGGGCTGTGTGTTTTTGGCTGTTTGATGTCTGTGTGGAACTGATGTGAGCATCACACATGTGCGTGGACACACTTATGTATTCTGTCTTGTGAGCGCGCGTGTGTGTGCGCGCGCGTGTATGTGTGTGTGTGTGTGTGTGTGTGTGTGTGTGTGTGTGTGCGTGTGTGTGTGTGTGTGTGTGTGTGTGTGTGTGTGTGTGTGTGTGTGTGTGTGTGTGTGTGTGTGTGTGTGTGTGTGTGTGTGTGTGTGTGTGTGTGTGAGTCATAGAGGTAACGTGGAGATGGAAATGCACTGGTTGTGTATCAAGATGCCTCCGAGGCCCATTTTTCTGTGGACATCTCCCTTTTCTCCTCCTTCTCCTCCTCCTCCTCTTCCTCCCCTACCTGCCTGCACCAACACTTGAAACAGGAGCCTACGCAGATTCAGCAAGCACACACACACACACACACACGCTGAGTTTTCCCTTTGCCAGACTCTGCATCATCAAAGTTCCATCCACCTTGGTGGCGTCTTTGGAATGAATATGCCCTCTGTTTCAATGATCACACACACACACACACACACACACACACACACACACACACACACACACACACACACACACACGCACACACACACACACACACACGTCTGTGGCCTTTCTTGTTTGATGCTAATCTGCTCTGTCACTGTGCGGCCCTAATACGCTCCCCATCTCCCTCCCAGCCTCTCTTTTGTGGCGATTGTTTCCCCTTTTTTCCTTTCATATCCCTCCTCCCTCATGTCGTCCTCTCTTCCTTCTGTTCCATCCCTCCTCTCATTCTTTCATCCTCCCTTTTTTCATGTCTTCTGTTATTCCCTCCCTCCTCCTCGCTCACTTTTTCCCCCCATTAGGAAGTTTTAATGGCATAATTGCCACATTCCTTCTGGCACAATGAACACCAGCAGTAATTAAAGAGCTTGCCGTTAATTACCTAGACCCCGACTCTACTTTCCTCTTTTCTCACCAACCTCTCCCCCTTACTCCCCCATCCCTCCCTCTATCCCTCTTCTGATCCCTTCTCTTCTTCTCCGCGTCTCATTCACTTTGTCAGTTGCCATCAAAGTCTTCCGAAACACACCCGGCCTCCCAAAGCCTTGACTTTGAGCGAGCGGCGCTTTCATGTGAGGACTCAAGTGAAAATTCTCACTTAGTGTCCTTTTTCTTTCTGACGTCCTCGTCTTTGAACCCCCAATGACAACACACATCATCTTTCATGCGACAGGCGTGTGTGTGACCTGCTAATGGGTCGGAGACAGAGAAGAGAGGTGAGGTCCCATAAAGAGACAGTTTTATGATGGCTCTGGGAAACTCTCAGATTTCCATAAGACAGACCAGGCCAAGTTTTCTCTGTCAGCTAGCTCTCCTCCCACCGAGCAGCCGCCCGCCTGCATACACACATCTTGGCATTTAAAGAGGAAGTCCATATGATCTCT